GAAAAGAGGTAAATAGTAAAGAATTATAAGCTAGCCTAAATTCTTTAGAATAATTTATTTACGCTAAGCTTTTTTTACGCTATAGATAGAAATAATAGTTAGTCTTAGCGCTATAAATAATAATTATAGTTAGTTAAAGAGCTATAGATAGAAACTTTAGTAAGAAATACGTACGTAAAGGCTTATAGTTATAATATATAATAAAGAATTAAAAATAGAGACTATATATAGTAATATTTTAATTCTATATTCTTTTTTACTTTAATTAATAGTAGTTTTATAAGATATATCTAGAGGTTTCTAAAGAAAAGAGGTTATAAATAAATAAAACTTTACTTTAATTTTCTCTATATTGCGTAGTAAACTTAACCTAAATCTAGTAAGTTTTATTCTTTACTCTATATTAAGTTAGCTTTCTTTTACTTTTAGCTAAATACTTTTACTACTTAGCTACTATAATTTAATATTAGTTCTATAGATTACTAGCTAGGTTTATTAATTTATACTAAATTATCTTTAATTCTAACTAAAATACTTTATAATTAGACTATACTATATTAAGTTAGCTTTCTTTTACTTTTAGTTAAAAACCTTTACTACTTAGCTACTATAATTTAATATTAGTTTTATAAATTACTAGCTAGTTTTATTAATTTATACTAAATTATTTTTATTTTTAACTAAAATACTTAATAATTAGACTATACTATATTAAGTTAGCTTATATTTTCTTTTAGTTAGATACTTTTACTACTTAGCTACTATATTATAATAAAAGTTTTATAAATTACTAGCTAGTTTTATAAATTACTAAGATTAGTATATTATCTAAGATAATCTACTATAGATTATATTTTGTAAATATATATAACTATAAATAAAAACTAGTATAGTAATATTACTACTAGTATATATTAAAAAGATATAACTTTAAATCTTTTTAATTATTCTTATTAAAAAAGATTTTTATTTACTTACTATTACTACTTAGTTAGAACTTAAAGCGCTTTAGAGAAAGAATATATAATAGTTTTAAATCTAGAATTTTTAAATAATATAAAGTTTATAGTCTATATAGTTTCTACTTATATATATTTCTTACTAAGTTTTTATAAAAGCTTTCTACTATAATAATTATATTATTTTATTTATATCTATTATCTAATATATTATAAAACCTTTATAAAAGTATATAAAAATATATTTATAGTAAGAAAGTTTTTATAATTTTTCTTTAAGTATTAATTAAATTTAATTATAAAAGACTAACTCTAAAAGTAAATACTAAAAACTATTAGATAAATTTAATAGTTTTAGAAAGAAAGACTTTCTAGATAGTTATATACTTTAGAAAGGTTTTCTAAGCTTAGCTAAAACTAAACTAGATTTCTAAGATTTCTAACTAAGAAATTTTCTAGATATAGTCTATTATAAGTAGTAATCTTATATAATATATTATATTAACTTACTACTATAGATTTAAAATACTAATATACTATAATTACTATAATTATATTCTATAGCTAATAAGATAATTACTTCTAGTCTACTAATTAGTAACTATACATTTTTCTAGTATTAGTTAAGTATATATAGCTCTATAAGTAGAGTAATTATAATAAATATTTAAGTACTAATTAGATTAATTACGTACTTTTTCTATTTTATACTAGAGTCTTATATACTTCTCTATATATATTATACTACTTTTGTCTAATCTTACAAGAGTAGTAATTATAATTCTAATTACCTAAATCTATTATTTCTAGCTTGTTTTCCTCTACAACATGTGTATAGCCTAATCTTCTTCTTCTAAAGCTAACTAGCTTTCGGCATTAAGATGTTTGCGTTGGACGAGGACGTCGTGAGAAGAGCGGTTATAGTTGTTACAAGTTGAAATTCCTCGCGCGCTCTTCTAAATGAATGTCCGACTCAACCTTACCACCCCGATATCTCCCCAGTATACACAACCAACTTGCCGCCGTGCTCCTTCTTCGAAGCCTTCGCGAACACCCGCATCATGCCTTCGCAGGAATCCTTCACCGAAACCGGCGCCATCTCGCCCATACCTAAAAGCTGGGACGCGCCGTTGCCCATATCCGTCGCAACATGACCCGGGTCGAACGCAAAGCAGTTGAGCCAGTCCTCTTCGGCGTTAATACGAATCGTGTACCAATTGAGCGCTGTCTTGGTCGGCGCGTACGCCGCGTTGGGAATGGGCAGGTGGTTGCTAGGGCTGGTCAAACGGGTGCGCGCAAGAGATGTCAAGTTTACTTACACCAACAACCCCGCCGACGAGCCCATAGGCAGGAAGATCGGCTCGCGCGTCGACTTCTTCAGAAGTTGGCGCGTCGCTTGGTATAGCGCTATCACGCCATAGACATTTGGTTCCATGTGCGCCCTGATGTCCGCGATCTTGACCTCTGCGACACTGGGCAAGATATAGCTGATGCCGGCGTTCGCAATCACAATGTCGAGACGGTGGATTTGGTGCTTCTGCTGCAGCTCGGCGACGGCATCATGTGCGTGCTGCTCAATGCTTGCGTCGAGCTTTACGACAATAAGCTGGCTGTCGGAACCCTTGGGCAGGTCTTGTAGCGCATGCGCGGTCGCGTGCTCCGGGTTGCGCACTGCGGCAATGACGGTGTGCGAGGGCCTTGCCAGGAAGCGCTCGGTAAGGCCAAGACCAATGCCTCGGTTGGCGCCTGTGATGAGGACTGTGGTGGAGGACATGGTGGGACGGGGTTGCAGTTCTCGTTCGAGAGCGTTGCTGGTGAGTTACGATCGAGATGAATTCGGTTCAAAGGAATAAGAGGTAGATCTCTGGCTCCGCGGTAGAATATCCATCTCTTTCTCTGCGGGTGGGAAGATACTTGTAGCTTTGGAACCTGCGGCCAGATAGGCTGTATGAACATCACGAACGTGCGACAAGGATAAGGCGCCCAACGCGAAGATGACATATCGGCGTACGAACGGTTGTAAGCCATGTACGAGCTTCGTACGTGCATGTGTAGGATTCATCGCCAACAGGCTTCCGACAGTTGTCGCATTTCTAAGCACGGCGCGACCCGCCAAGGTTGCGTAGCTAAGTCGAGCCGCACATGCATGGACGCAAGGCTGTCACATCGTTCGATAATGATCGCGACAGAGGCGCGCTTGAGGCACGCGTTCGATATGAGGCTCGTAGGTGTCGTCCTACAGCACGATCTGATGTCGCGTGTGTGGGAGGCTGTGGTCGCAACGCTAAGGACGAGTCGGCGCGACTCGAGCTTCCACGGCGCGGGATAGTAAGGCTGACGTCACCACCAACCCACCTCAAAACACCACAGGCGCCATCATCACGATGTCATGTTTCTATCCAAGATCGCGCGCCCTCTTACGACAAGTTCCACCATGAAGCTCGATCCGGCAGTCATCAGGCTCCTCGGCCTGAACCTTGACAAGACGCACGTCTCTTCCGCAGGCGGAGGCGGCTCGAGCTCAGCATCGACGTTGAAGATCACGTCACGACTTGGCGATGGCACAGATCAGACATTCTTCATGAAGACTGGAAGTGGGGAAGAAGCCGAGGTCATGTTCCAAGGTACGCGCAATCTCTAGCACCTCTGGGCTGGCTAATCAACTGACAGCGCGATGAAGGTGAGTACGCATCCCTCCAAGCCATCTACGACGCCGTGCCATCTCTATGTCCTCAACCCCTCGGTCACGGACGATTCGAATCGCAGCCATCCACATCCTTCCTCGTGACTGAGTTCCTTCACCTCACGGGACGATCGAGTTCAAAGTCGAAAGCGCCATCGCTGGCAGCTAAGCTCGCAAAGCTACATACCATGCCCGCGCCCATACCAGAAGGCTGTGACAAGCCTATGTTTGGGTTTCCGGTGACAACGTGTTGCGGCGATACACCACAAGATAATAGCTACAAGGGGAGCTGGGCAGACTTTTATGCGGAAAACCGTCTTAGATGCATCCTACGGTCCGCGGAGCAGAACGGAAGAAGGGACAGCGACGTGAAGAAGCTGGTTGAGCAGACCGCGACCATGGTAGTACCCCGCTTGATCGGCGATGACCATCTCAATAACGGCAGGGGAGTCACACCGGTCGTTGTGCATGGCGACTTATGGAGCGGCAATGCAAGCGCAGGCGTCATTGGTAATAAGAAGGGCGAGGTTGAAGACGTGGTCTACGACTCGTCGGCATGCTACGCGCACAGCGAGTTTGAGCTAGGCGCCATGAAAATGTTTGGTGGCTTCGGTGGGAGTTTTCTGAAGGAGTATCATCAGCTGTGTCCAAAGACGGAGCCCGTGGAGGAATACGAAGACAGAGTGAAGCTATATGAGCTCTACCATCATCTCAACCACTATGCAATGTTCGGGGGAAGTTATCGGAGCGGCGCGGTCAGTATCATGAGAGACCTAATCAAGAAGTATAGTGGTGAAGGGTAGGTGAAAGAAATGATGGAGTGGCAACGAGTGGTCAAGTATCTACATTTAAATGTACACCGATTGACCCAGTCGCGATTAGTCCGAGAAGCAAGTTCATGAGCTCAGGGAGCAAGCTGAACGCTTGAAAAGGGAAGCGACTAGTCACCCTCGCATGTTATTGTCCCTCGAGTTCGTTACTACATGGTGTGTAAGCATCTTACGTGATTGAATACAATAGCTACTTCTTCAACAACGTCGATTCAAAAAGACTACGAAGACGTCGGTGTGCTTGCATAAAAAACCAACAAGATGATATAGACATTATAGAATCCTGAGAGCTAGAAGCTCAATATCTCCAGAGCTAGAAAAATGCAAAGACATGCGCGCGGTCACCGCGACTGCCCATTTCAGACTCACCTTGAGTTCGATATCCACGCTAAGACTTGCCTGCCTGTTAAGCAATCTATCGCTCTCTCACCTCTGCTCCTCAACCGACACATAACATCGAATCCAACTCTACCTTCCAAAATCTACGCACCACTTTGGTCGCCCTCGCTACCTTACCCCGACGTAACTATGGCGGTCTTGCCCAATGCAGTCGCTGCATACAAGCAGAAGCGATTCGACACTGCGGCGCTCGAAGCTATGAAAGCATACGACGCGGGAATCCATTCTGTGCCCTCTCGAGCGATGCTCAACGCAAGCGACAAGGCAATCATTGCTCAGAACCCTCCTCAATTCAACGCAAGTGAATCGCGGCAGTCTCACAGTGAATGTATTACTAAAGCGTCTTTAGTTCAGCCTTTGGAGTGGACTACCGAACTGGTGCATCGACCAATGCTTCGGAGAAGAGCTGGCTAAGCAACTTGTTGAGTACAAGCTCATCCGAAGAGAGCCTCGTCCAGTCAAGCAGCCTCCAGTCGCCCAGCATCCAGCCGAGCAGTGTCTTGTCGAGCAGCGTCTAGTCGCGCAGCGTCGCGACTTGGATGTCGAGATAGCGGAAGCCGCTGGCTTCCATCGAGCCATGAACATCTGGAGCAATCTGCCTCGCCAGGGTATATTCTTCAGCGACGCCCAGAGCGACCTGCGCCGTCAGGCCGCCAAGCTAGCCGACTTACTCGCGCCGTACAACATAGAGGATCCTAGGTCCCTGCCTGGCAAGTTCAGCGGTTTCCAGAGTGGACTCAGGTGTCCGACACGGCTTAGCCTTCAAACAGCTGGACCAAGGGATCTTGTACCGCAAGTCAGTTACTACGATGAGTTCTTGAACATCTTGAACAGAAGCTAGTTGGTTTTTTCCTATTCCTCTATTAGTCAGAGAGGGGAATACATCTTGAGTTCTGGAAGAGGTGTGTCCCTCTTGCGAGTTTACGCTCTAGCTAGTTTCAATCCACGTCATTCGAAACGCTCGACTGCCATGTTTAGCTGCGGTCAGCTTGACGAATGGTCATTCACACGTTGTTGTTTTAGACGCTCATTCGCCATCTAGACCGGACTGCATCGAAGGAAAATCATTACCATTACGCCATGAATACATACCCGGGTATCACAAACACCAAACAAAAGCCCCTGGGACGCCTCCACCCTCGACAGTTGACCTGCCAGTCTGACGACAGCATGCCGTCTGTCGCAGTCCTATCTCTCACATTCAGTGCATCCATTCGCAAGCGCCGCGTCTATGCCCTCAAGCCCACCACGCTCAACCCTTGTACTTCCTCAACACATCCTCGCTAACCCTCTTGACGCTCTTGGCAGACAGTCCCCGCTCGCCGCGTTGTTTGCTCTTAATGCTCGCTTCGTTGATGAGTCTGTCGGTGTTGTTAGCTTCCGTCCTCTCGTTTTAATCCCTGCCTCCACCTCTATCCATGACCTGCGCAAAAGCGTTCCCTTGCTCTGTGCCCTCTCCAAATATTCGACCTTCGTCGCAGCGTATCGCGATATGACGTGATGCGAAGGTAGGGTAGTGCATCGCATTGCATCGCGTCGTGTCGTGGAGTTGTGACATCGTAGGTACGTACTCTTGCATGAACAGCACATAGTTCAGGTATATCTGTGCTACATGTCAGCCTTCTATCTCCACTACTGCTCATTGGATCAACGTACCAGTATATCCACATTTTTGCTCAATGGTCTGTTGGAATGCGCCTTAACGATCTTCTTGACGGTCCCGCGGGGGTAGAGCGTGGGCGCCATGGTATGCTTTCGGTGTTTACGAGACTTGCGCAAATAATCGGGAGGTGATATTTTGGAGATTCCTGGCGTAGTGGGCTCGGAATGCGGGGTTGTTGAGCACACTGTGGGATGAATGCGTGGGAAGACGTGTCTGTTGACGTCGATGCGTGCCGGTGGGTCTGTGCGTTGACGCGCTGGCACGTGGAAAGCTAACACTGAACGTTACACTCATGAACACAGGCCTTGTACGGGGGCTATGGAATGGTTGGAAACCTGATAATTGTCTCATGGGAAGACATCACATGTTTGTGTCAATTGGAATCGAGTCTGAACAAAAGAATTCTCATGCGAGATGCATCTATCAGGGACTATCACAAGATAATGTTACACAAACGAGATTCCACATCTACTGCGCTACATAATCACTGTATTTACACCTTCAGGCCGAGATCCGCAGCGTAGGGGAGTACGAAAAGGTCACCGACGGATGATACTGAGGCGTTGCTCTCAAGTAGTTCCTTAGCAGCCTGATGCAATCGTTAGTACATATCACATCGAAACGGAGATTGCAAAGACTCACCTTCTTGACGGACTCTTCTGTTACGCCGTCAATCTTCTGGGCAACCTCGTCGATCTGGTACGGTTGGGTGTTGTGGATCAGACCGTTGCCAGTAAGTTCGAGACCGGCGCGGATGTCCTGGCCGTGCTCGAGCTCCTTGAACTTGGCGGCGGCCTTTGCCTTGGAGACCTCTTCGCTCGAGATCTCGCCGGAAGCAATCTTCTTGATGGCATCAACAGCGGCCTGGGCGGTTTGGGCGACAGCCTTGGCGGATCCGGTGATGGTGGTGTAGAGGAGACCGGCATCGGAGTAGATGGCGCTGGTGGTCTTGACCTTGGCACCCTGAGCAGCGGCCTGGCCGAGCTTGGTGAAGCCTTGCGACCACTTGACGGCAGACTCGCCTCCGAGGAGAGAGCTGAGGACAGCAATCTCGGGCTTGTAGAACTTGCCGGTGAAGGAGCTGGAGCCGGGGAAAGCAATGACCATGGCGTTGCCGCTGTCGTGGGCGATGCGCTCCTCACCACCGTAGTACTTGGACTGGTCGGCACCGGTGTTGGACTCCTGGAGAGGGGCGCTGGGGACGTTCTCGAAGAACTCGCCAACCCACTTGGAGAACTCGCCGTGGTCGGCACCGTTGGCTACGACGGCGAAGTTGGGCTTCGCGTAGGCGATCTTGGAGTACCACTCAATGGTCTCGGCGTCGAGGTACTTGGTGTAGGGCGTGGGCGCAGCGGAGGCGGTGGGGACACCGAGGCCGCGGTGGAAGGCGAGGCTGTGGGCGGACTGGGTGGCCATGTCGGTGACGCTGGCGAGGAACTTCTTGTGGGCGAAGTGGATCATGGGGAGCACCTCCTCGGCGTAGACGTGGGCTGCACAGTGTCAATTCCATCCATCTCGTGATATCAATTTTGCCTACGCTGGTACTTGGTGGAGCTGGCGACCTCGCCGAGCAGCTCGACGAAGTAGGGCAGGTCGTCGCGGAGGAACTTGGCCTCGAGCACCAGGTTCTCGCGCGAGTGGTGGGCGTTGAGGCTGGCGCCCAGGAGCTCGGATTCGCGGACAATGCGCAGCGTCGACCGTCTTTCGGTGCCCTAGAGGTCCGGAGCGTCAGTCTCGCTCTCCACAGCATGGGCAGAGTCTCAATTCAGCGTACCCGGAAAGCGAAGTTGGCAAGGCCCTCGGTCAGGCCGGGCAGCGGCTGGAAGCGCGTGCCGGCCTTTGCGACAAGGGCCAGCGTCGTCGTGGGGCCGGCAAAGTCTCTGCTGGCGTACTTGACGCCCTTGGCCTCGCCGGCCTGGTAGTTGAAGGAGCCTGAAGCTGGGGCAGCCAGGCCGCGGCGCTGGCAGCGGGCGACGGGCTGCTGGCGGGCTGCACGCTGCGCGCCCCGGCAGGCGGTCGTTCGGGAGAGCATCGTAGTGTGGGCGCCGGGCGGAGGGCTGGGTGGTGTGCGGGGGACGGCAATGGATGGAAGACGTCGGGTGGTGAGGCTCTTCGAGATGCCCGTCACAAAGTTCGTAGGCCGCCAAGCCTCGTAATGCCATCGACCGCCGCTCCATTGGCCAGAGCTCGACTGGGAACGGTCACCCACCCCACCCAGTATCATTTTCTAGTCGCTAAGACTGTCGCTGCTCAACCCTCGCTCCCTCTGCTCCAGCTTTGTTCTCCCCGTGCGTCGCCAATGTCTCCCCGGTAGCATTACCCCACCCTAGATATCTGGCAAATATCTAGGCTCCATCATGTCTTACAACCAGCGAGAGACTCCGGTAAGACGCGCCGCCCTTGCGCCTCGCCCATGTCACATGAATCATAACCAACCACTCTGCAGGTCCTTGCTGAACTCTGCACCTCCCTGGTCAAGGATGTCTACGGTGAACTCGCGGCAGTATGTCTTGTCGAACCAAGTCCCTGCGCATCGTCGCGCGCGGGCGCAGTACTCTTCTGCATCCAGGCATGCGACGGGCGCATTCAAGAGCACTCTTCTAACTCGTCATAGCGGGTCTTTTCGATCCTCGCGCGCCACGGACGCCAGAGTCTCGCATCCATCGCACGCGTCTCCTACCTGAACCCGCGCCAGATCAAGTACGGCCTCGTCATCCTCCTCCAGCAGCACCTCATCTTCCACTCCGGCAGCGATGCGCCCTTGACCTACTACGAGATCGACTGGCAAAACTCGTACGCAATCGTCCGCTTCGGCAAGATCGTCAAGCTCGTCCAAGACCGCGACGGCAAAAAGGCCGCCAACGTCATGTCCAACCTGCTCGCGCTCGGCCACACACGCATCGCCGACTTGAAAGAAGCCTACTTCCCCTCCGAAACTGAAAGCGACTATGACTCAGACGACGGCGCGGCCAACGGAGCCGGCTCAAAGCGGAAACGGACCAACGGCACTCACGTCAACGGAACAGGCAAGACGAACGGCGTGACAAATGTTATCTCCTCTGAGTTGGACGACGCGAAACCAGACCCCACCGAACTCACCAACGGCCACGGCAAGACGAACGGCGTGCACAAGCCCTCCAAAGTCGACAGTGTGACACACAACAGCGCTCCAGAAGAGCCCGGACAAGAACAGGATGACAGCGACATTGGCTCCGTCGAGGAGCTGTACGAAATCATCCAGCGGCTGATGGAGCGCGGCTGGATCAGGACAGTCACCGAAACACAATACCTCTCCCCCGGCGACATGCACGACATGCTCTACCAGGAGTCCATCGAGCAAGACAACAATGGCGTCACACCCACGGGCACCAAAGACAAGGATATTGTCCACAGAGGGACCCTGCAGCGTAAACGGGCAATGCGCGACGAATGGCTGACGGTCCCAAAGTTTGCCCGAAATGGACAGACGAATGGTTCCAACAAGCGTGTGAAGATCAACGGTGCGAACGGCACAAATGGATGGGCGGCACCATCATCGGACGACGACCTCGTTATTCGCGTTAACCCGGAGAAGATTGCAGTCGCCATGCGGACGGAGCAGCTGGTGAGCCTGGTACAACAACGTCTAGGTTCCATTACGGCGCGCGTTTACCAGACCATGTTGCGCATGCTCGAGTCCAAGACACCCCGCTGTTGGGAAGAGTGGCCTGACCCACCGCTACCTGCCGGCGAAGCTGGAGAGAACTCGATCGACCCCCGCTTCCTCGTAACTGCCCGCGACGTCGCCACGAAGCTCAGCCGTGAGCGCGATCTGGACATCTTCGAGGGCCTCGATCCGAACGCAGCGGCCCAGATGACTCGCAAAGGGCACATCAACCGAGCCACTATCTGGACACAGCCAGTTGACCCCGCAACCCTCAATATGGAAGACAGGACCAAGGTCGTCGACAAGCACATACAGATGCTGGCTGAAGACCCGTTTCACTTTGTCACCTGGCACTCTCGCGCCGGATTCTCGCAATGGCACATCGAGTTCGACGAGATCGCGCGGCAGATGATACAGACCGAGATCGAGAACACCATCTCTGCAAGGAAGGGATCCCTGGGCGTGAAACTGGTTCGCGCGTTGAAGAAGAAGGGCAAGCTCGACGAGCGCGCCATGTGCAACGTCATGATGATGCCCGCCGCCGACGTTCGTGGCATAGTCAACGACCTCACCATCCAGGGCTTTGTCCAGACGCAGGAGATTCCCAAAGTCGACCGACGCGAAGCGAAGCATTCCCTCCACCTTGTCTGGTACGATCGCCAGCGCGCCCGCGAAAAGCTGCTCCACGACACCTACAAGGGCATGGTCCGCATCCTCCAACGTATAGAATACGAACGAGAGAAGATTGAGTTTACCCTGACCAAAGCCGAGCGCTCTGACGTGGTCGGCAATGAAGAGAAATGGTTGAGCCCACGCGAGTTGGACGACCTTCGCAAATGGAAAGAGGTGCAAGAGAAGTTGTTGCTACAGCTATCCCGCGAAGACGACCTCGTCGCTACATTGAGAGATTTCCACGGGCCGTTGGTCTCTGCTTAGACCAGAAGAACATCACGGCCCTACGTTACGTAAGGAGAACGATGGATTTGGCGTTTCATGGGGGCATGCATAGGTCTGGTTCCGTCCAGCCATCAAAAGCATTCGGTACAAACGATACCCTTCGAGCATATGGGCGGCGTTTATTTCTTGCATGGCATTTAGGTGTTCTTTTCGTACCAGCTAAGGCGATCTGAAGGAGACATTTGTACTATTCGATCTTCGCTGTAGATCACGATATGTAGTATATACTTCAATGACTTCGGAAACATTATCGCATCCTGTACCTTTTCCAATCTTTGACTGTGGATATTTACAGGCGCATTAGACTGCGCCTGAGACTACCCGTCCGACATACTTCAAACCACGATAAGACTTCTCTCTTGTGGTCTGACCTCGTGCGCTACGAGAAGTGAACATAGCATCTATAGCCCCCACGAGTTCATGAAGGAAGTCAATGTATGCTTTAGGGCTTTCGTGATCGTGCGCACAGGAGAGCAGATGCCGTCAAAGCCGAGTAAGCAGTACCTCTCTACTTTTGACCTAGCATAGGTACGACCGCATCTGCGCCCAATGAGTATTTTGGTGGTCAGGAATGGAGATTGGCGCGCCATCAGATCAAAGTTATACTCTATCGATACTTGATTCATGATCTGTACATGAAAATGTGGCGAAGAAGTCTAGAGATACGCAAAGTGAAACTCCATCAATCTCGTCTCTGTCCGTCGACACAGTATGCTGCCAGTCCACGCATGCTCCCGTTGCCAAATCCTGAATAGTGAACATTATGCTCAGAGTCGATTAACAACTTGCTCGCCTCAAGTCTCCGGACTCGCAGGCGATTAGTCGTGAGACGTCATATGACCCCTTGGTTGGCAGCGCGAGCAATATACATGCCGCAGCAGAATAGATTAATGTGGCCGAGGTGAACCGGGAAACAAAACCTCGCCAGGCAGCACTGAGCCCTGTCTTCATATACTGAACCGGGTTGCAGGTAGGCGCATCTTTGGGGCGTATTTGACGTCGCGACGTCGAGCAATGATGAAGGCATATCGTTGCATCGCGATGGAAGTCGAGGAAGGATGTCTAGGTGCAGCAACGTGAGTCTGGTGTCGAAGCGCGCTAGTGGCTGAAAGCAGCCGCGCTCCGCCTTCGCTCGACTGTGCCCAACCACATCACACATCCCTTCACATCTACAGCTACGCTAAGTACCGTTGTGGCTGCAACGACCGACCGCCATGAACGCGACAACGTTCCGATATGAAGTCAAGGCGATCTAGTACCCAGACGTCTCTAGTCGACCCCAGTGTTGCGTTCGCTCTGGCAGACGACAAGTCATTGCAAGCCTCCACCCCACGAGCCACCGGTTGACAGACCTGGGACCCTGCTCGGCAGCCGGAGTGCATTGCCTAGTACCCGTTGTAGTACCCCCGCAGCAATACACCTTCATCAAATGTGGAGGCGGGCCGAGTCATGAGCATGGACGTTCTTCGCGGGCTTCGAGAAGATCCGGGGGCGCAGGTACCACTTGGACATATCAAATGACCGAGCTTCGTCTGGAGAAGTCTTGAAACCTATCAGCGGCGGCATCACGGACATTCACACCGGCTGAAGTAATTTGGATATTGATGAAGACTTCATGATCGCCAGCACCGGGGTTGAGCTCCAGCATACAAATATGCGTGCTCGCCAGAGGTTTCACTCTTCACGCACTCTTCATCACACTCTCTTCTTCAGTCACGATGCTGTCTAACCTTCTCTTCACTGCTGCGCTTGCAGCTGGCGTGGCTCAGGCCCTGCCTCAAGCGACCACCTCGAGGGCTACCACTACCACTCGCGCCACCACGACAACGGCCGCTCCGGCAGCGACTGGAAATCCCTTCGCTGGAAAGGACTTCTACGCCAACCCATACTACTCCTCCGAGGTCTACACCCTGGCCATGCCATCTCTTGCCGCATCTCTGAAGCCCGCTGCTTCCGCCGTGGCCAAGGTGGGCTCGTTCGTGTGGATGGACACGATGGCCAAGGTTCCTCTTATGGACACCTACCTGGCAGACATCAAGGCCAAGAACGCCGCCGGCGCGAAGCTGATGGGAACCTTTGTCGTCTACGATCTGCCCGACCGTGACTGCGCCGCCCTGGCCTCCAACGGTGAGCTCAAGATCGACGACGGAGGTGTAGAGAAGTACAAGACGCAGTACATCGACAAGATTGCGGCCATCATCAAGAAGTACCCTGATGTCAAGATCAACCTTGCCATCGAGCCCGACTCCCTGGCCAACATGATCACCAACATGGGCGTCCAAAAGTGCTCGCGCGCTGCCCCCTACTACAAGGAACTCACCGCCTACGCCCTCAAGAGCCTCAACTTCGCCAACGTCGACATGTACCTCGACGGAGGCCATGCTGGCTGGCTCGGCTGGGACGCCAACATTGGCCCAGCCGCAAAGCTCTACGCCGAGGTTTACAAGGCGGCTGGCTCGCCCCGTGCCGTCCGTGGTATCGTCACCAACGTCAGCAACTACAACGCTTTCCGCATCGCTACCTGCCCTTCCATCACCCAAGGCAGCAAGAACTGCGACGAGGAGCGCTACATCAACGCCTTTGCTCCCCTGCTCAAGGCCGAGGGCTTCCCAGCTCACTTCATTGTCGACACTGGCCGCAGCGGCAAGCAGCCTACTGGCCAGCAGGCTTGGGGAGATTGGTGCAACGTCAAGGGCGCTGGCTTCGGTATCCGTCCTACTACCAACACCGACAACGCGCTTGTCGATGCTTTTGTCTGGGTCAAGCCCGGTGGCGAGGTATGTAACTTATTTAAGAACGACTGAGAATGTGAATGCTAACGAGAATGTAGTCTGACGGTACTTCCGACCAATCTGCCGCTCGCTACGATGGCTTCTGCGGTAAGGACTCTGCGTTCAAGCCTGCGCCTGAGGCTGGTACTTGGTTCCAGGACTACTTTGCGATGTTGCTCCAGAATGCTAGCCCCGCTCTTGCATAGATGGTTGATTAGTAGGAGACACGGTACCTTCATCAAATCTTTTGTCAGGATGGAGGTCGTCAAGAGGATGCACTGTATATAGCCGCGATCGCATCTCGCTCGTTCCAGGTTCGTGGGAACTGTATATATCAATCAACGTGTACATGACCATTGTGCGTGTATCCGATGAGTGATTCTGTGTCCGACATGGTGATGGGTGCAACGGTGATGCCGCCCACGTGGGGGCTGGACTCGGGAAGCGACATGTCTTGGCAGGGCGCAGGCGAGCAAAGGATCAGCCGTTGCGCGAGTACTACCACGCCCCGCCAAACCTTCTTTGCCCTTTGACGTCCCGACCTACATCATCCTTTGCGCGCATCGCTCCCTTTACACGTGCGACCACCCGACGCTCGTTCCCCCCACTGCGCACCCACTGCGCCCACCACCCACCCATGCGGCCCCGGTTCTATCGATAAGGCAGCGGAGAGGGCAATGCAACGCCCCAAGCTTTCACCTCTGCAGTCGCGACTGCTCGCATACCTCGTCGCTACCAGTACCTGTATCGCGCTATGGACGCCTTCGCTACCTCTTGTCCACGCCGCCGAAGTTCTTGCGACACCCGATCACGACGCCCTTGACAGCCTCGCGCTGCACGCCTTCACCGGCGGAGATATACCACACATTGGAGATGGGGGACTCGACCGCGAAGAGAGCGACGGCTACGAGCCGGAGTTCAGCTATCTCGACCGGAGTCTGATTGGACGGCAGAACGACGCGCCGGAGCCGCTGAAGAATAACGAAAAGACGGAAAAGGATATCGATCCTGAAACGACGTTACACTTTGTGTTTGAGAAGGGTCAATTGCGCCTAAGAAGTGTGCTTGATGTTCCCTTGGATGCTCTGGAAGCACGGGGAACAGACAACGCCTCTGATGAAGCTGGATTGGAAGACGCGACAGTACCTGGAAAGGATGACGATATTGGTGACGATGAGACGGGAGAGTTGGCAAAGCGACAGGCTGGCAGTAGTCGCGTCTGGCTCACGGCCAATACTTGTCGCCAGCCTATGCCAAACGGAGACGCGAAGGAGGCAAGGAAGAACCACCCGCAGCTGGTCATGTACGTTTCTACATCGCCGCGCAACAAGCAACCAGGCCCAGATGCGACGCAAGACAGTCTCACCAACATCACGGGCGTGCTTTTCGATGGCGGCTACGCCAGCTTCGAGCTCAACACCACATCGGATGTGTACATTGGTATCGGGGCGCCAAAACTGGAGGAGGACTGGTTTGGCAGCTGGCACTTTGAACTCGCCGCAAGCACAGACGGACCTTACCATAGCTACGACGACGCGACACCTTTCCTCTACATGATTGACACGGACAGCGAATCCACTCTGTTCATATCACAAAACTTGAGCAGTTCGAACGACACAGTGGAGGTCGATAGATGGAGGGCGCAGAACCCCTTCCACATGTACGCCTTTCCGGACGGCGAATGGACTCCCGTTACCGGCTTGGAACGTTCTTACTGTGCGCTTAAGGAGCAGTTCAATGTCAACGCGACAAGGAACTTCACCATCGACACGAGCATCACGACCAAGTTCAATAAGATTGGCGGTGACGACAACATGCCCAAGAGCCAATTCCATGTCAGGAACCTGCAGAGTGCGAAGACATACAACGGATTCGTCGTCATTGAGGGGAGCCAACAGCCACTCACCATTCCTGGCACGGGCACGACGAGAGGCGGAGGCAGGGTCTTTCAGGCTTTCAACTGGACGACCAAAGCTGGTGAGTGTCCCACACTACAGTTTACAGAACTATGCTAACAACATGCAAAGATGACTCCTGCCAAGTCCTCTTCGACCTCGAATTCTGCGACATGGTCGCCTACGCCGTCCCCTCCAACACCAAATTCAAGCTCAACGACTCCGCTCTCGCCGAAATCTACGAGAACCAAGCTCGCACATACTACGACAATTTCAACAAGTCCCTGGCGCAGGTTGCGTGCGACACAGTCTCCGAAGCCCAATACTCCCTCGCCGTAACCTGCGACGACTGCGCCAAAACTTACAAAAACTGGCTATGCATGGTCCTCATGCCCCGCTGCGAAGACTGGACCGCAACAGACTCGTCACTCGTACCGCGCAACATCAAAACGCCCTTCGCCAACGGCTCGCTCCCGGACATGATCCCCGGTTTCAACGACAGCGCTGCCTTTAGCCAGTCTCGAAACCCGAACATCGACAAGGAGATTGATCCGGGCCCGTACAAGGAGCTGAAGCCGTGCGAAGACATGTGCTTTGATATTGTGAGGACTTGTCCGGCGCAGATGGGCTTTGCGTGCCCGAATGGGGTGCAGAGGGATGGCATGTATGGGGTTAGAGATGAGAATCCGGATAGGTTGACGTGTAGTTTTCCGGGGGCTGTTGTTAAGTTGAATGCGAAGGGTGGTGCGGGTGTGTTGGGTGTGCATCTACCCTCCATTACGACTGTTGCTGCATTGGTTGCAGTAATGTCGTTGTTGTAGATCTGAGGACCGCGTTCTCCATCGCGCAGTTCGCTCTATCTGTAGTTATGATTCCTAACAGCGCCATTCTTGTAGCGTTAAAGCGAAAGTCAATTCTCATCCATCCTTTCCTTCCTCACACACTAAACTCCAGTCGATTCCCCGCAAAGTCCCTCGCAAAAAACCTCGTCGGATACTCTACACCCTCCGCCCCACTATTCTTCGCACCAGGTCTATCTGCTTCCAACGGCGCCGCCTCTCCACCCCGCTCATGATGTTCCCATACCTTCGCTCTCAACTCGTTCAGCGCTTCTACACTGCCAACCCGGAAACATGGATGCCGTGATGATGAGTGCGTGAAGTCCTCTGGCTTCCCGATCGCGACGTGTACTTGTTGACCCGAGCTGCCAATGTCGAACCATGCGAGCGTTTCGCGTTGCAGGTGTGGTACTGCGCGTGGTGTTAGGCCGAGGGTTGTGGCGTAGAAGTCATTGGCTAGGTGGAGCGTGTTTGGCGGGACTACGAGATTGATGTGGTGGAGGCCGGTGATCATGGTGGCTGCGGAATGGATGCACGTTGGTTTTATTTAGGAGGGGAGTTGGTGATGGGGTGGTGTAAGACTTGGCGCAAAGGGATGGGGTGAATGCTAACTGCGGGGTGAGGTTGGTGCAGGCAGGAGGTGGGGACTACTCGACTGAGCTAGCGGGCCGTTGGAGACGACATCTCGAATATCTTGGACGTCGTGGTTTCACACGCAATTTGCATGTGTGCGTCACGCTTACAGATACATGCACTTACGATCAGTCGATAGAAGCTAACACGTTGCAACGTTATCGTTCTTCTTACCTAGCCTTCGCTAACCGTTACAGCGGGCAAAGTCGTTATTACAGCGCGATAGCGTATGACAAAAAGAAGGTTTACCAGACGTCAAGACGCATACATACCAGCCTCGGATGTAAGGTAGAAGAAGCTCATCTAATTGGGTCGTTCGAAGTTCTGGTGAGTAAACCCACGATTCATGATTGATGTTGCACCAGCATCATCGTGAAACGGCCCACATGGTGGCTGCCGAGGCCCGGATCGCAACGTCGCATCGTCGACAAGGATGGGGCAGCCCTACGCCATACCGATTAATTACCTTCTGTTTGCAGCTTCGGGAAGGTCGTTGCTGGTAAATGAAGGACGCTTGGAATTCTTAGCGGATGATGCCATCGTGCACATGTCGATCGCTGGCGAGTTCCAGAACATGCAAGGCATTGTTGATAGCAGGCAGCTAGCCGAGCGGACATGGCTTGCTAAGAAACAGCGACGCAAAGGTTCCGTATGCAGACACGTTTGACAGCGGAATCTTTTGCGTGAACCACGCCGAAAGACTGTGTCCAGCTTAGATCGTACATTTGGCTTCCAGCATGTGAACGGAGTACTATCGCATGTCTAGACGCGATGCGAGATGTCGAAGGGGATATTGCGCACAACATCCAAAACCCATGACATGTACCACCTGTCGAGGTTGCTACAGCCCGCACCCTAGCATCCCGTCCGCCACTAACACAACGAGAATCCTGCTCGATGATCGAAACATCGAGACCATTACTACCTAGAGTCATGCGCCCACATCCATCCTTGCTCGCAGAAACAAATGCTTCACTCCTCCCAATCGCATGCCAGCAAAACACGAAACAAGCAGAGATCACCCGACCGATTCAGTAATCAGACATGGCATGATGATGGAAACCATGGGCACGCTTCCCTGTACACATCAGCCTCTTCCCGCGAAACGGGGCCCACGACTCCACAATAACGTCCCGAGGTCGCGTTGATAGACAACGCCATGGCATTCCTTTCATCACATTCCGCCGCAGAAGCAATGTTTCGAAACCCCACTGCGCAAACTCGCTGCGATGGTGCTCCAAGGAAGTTAGCCGTGGATGTTTTTGTATAAGATAGAGGTCTCTAACAGAAGTTTGATAGGCATCGACTTCGATCCGCACTTTCGCTTCCATCTCTACTACATTCGCTTTCCGCGCCAGTCTTGTTCTTCATTGTGCTGTGCACTTACCTTCTTTTCTCAAACGACTTGCTATATACAGACGCCGACCACTCTTCGAACAATATCGCAGGATGAAGTTCTACGCCGCTCAAGCTTTCGCTCTTGCTAGCATTGCAACTGCTTTCCCGCATCCCCAGCTTCCCTCACTTCCATCCTTCTCGCTACCGACTGGTGGATCAGGCTCTGGTCTTGGTGGCCTTGGTGGACTTGGTGGAGGCTCGGGACTGGGTGGGCTTGGTGGAGGATCAGGAATTAGCCTCCCAACTAACATCCCCTCTCTCGGAGGTGGAGGTTCGGGACTTGGTGGACTTGGTGGAGGCTCGGGGCTTGGTGGCCTCGGTGGCCTTGGAGGAGGATCAGGATTCAGCTTGCCAACCGGCATCCCCTCCCTCGGAGGTGGAGGTTTCTCACTTCCGACCAGCCTCCCAAGCCTGGGTGGAGGCAGCACCGGTGCAGGTGGCTCGGGGTTGAGCAGCTGGCTCAGCGGCCTAGGTGGAGGTTCCAGTGGAGGTCTCGGGGGCCTTTCAGGTCTTGGAGGTCTCGGAGGCCTTGGAGGCGGTGCTGGTGGTGCCACGACAACAGCTGACGCCGCTGTTCCCGCACCTTCCAAGACCGGTGCCGCTGAAGCACCCGCCGCAACGGGCGGCGGCAACACTGGTGGCGCCGGCACGATCGGCACAGACTGCAAGCCCCAATCCGGATCGTCCAACGCCTTCGGAGGAAGCGAAAACGGAATTGTGGACAAGAGCTGCTGCACCGACATGACCATCGTCTTCGCACGTGGTACGGGGGAGATGGGCAACGTCGGATCCGTGTCCGGACCACCCATGTTCAAGGCTATCCGCCAGAAGCTCGGTAACGACCGTGTTACCGTCCAGGGTGTTGACTACGCGGCCTCTGCTGCTGGTAACGCCAACCTTGGTGGTGACGGTGGTCAGAAGATGGCCGATCTGGTCAAGCAGGCCAAGTCTCAATGTCCCGACACCAAGGTCATTGTATCAGGCTACTCTCAAGGTGCCATGGTCGTTCACAATGCTTTCAGCAAGGGCATTTCTGCCGCTGATGTTAGCGGCGCTGTTATGTTCGGAGACCCATTGAAGCGCCAGGCTATCAGCGGTCTTTCGGCGGACAAGATCAAGCAGTTCTGCGGTACTGCTGATCAGATCTGCGGTGGTGGTGGTGATGGCGGTGCTACTGGAAGCCATCTCAGCTACGGCAGCAGTGCGGATGCGGCGGCTTCCTTCGCTATCCAGGCCGCTGGGCTTGCTTAGGCAGATCGAGGTTGTCTTGTAAACTCGCATTGCTGGTCCGTGTGAGCTACAAGACGAGACATACGCGATTGTTGGGACTCGTGCGATAGAAAGCTAGTATGCATTCAAATGTAGATACTTAACCACTCATTGTTACTCCATCAATTCTTTGACTTATGCTTCACTACCCTTACTCACAGTAGTACCGACCTGAGATGCGCAAGTCCGCGCTTTTTCTTCATAAGTCTAACTCAATGTGCCATGATGCCTACAGTAAACCATAGCCATAGACCCATCCGACATCGCCATTCCCGCCTCCGCATACGTCCAATACCATCGCTCCATTTCCACCTCCTCAATCCTTAACCACCTTCCCAACAATCCACCCCTCAGCATACCTCTTCCCCATCCCCGCCTCCGGAATCTCCACTTTGAACCCGTTACCAACGTCACCCTTCTCCTTCTCCTCCTCCTTACCACCACCCTCACCAACAACAACAAGATCCTTAATCTCCTTAACCGCCAACCCCAAACTAACACAACTCGCCACCATCCTCCTAACCTCATCCTCCCAACTCGGCTTGACACCTTCCGCCTTCGCCGTCCCAACACCCAATCTCTTGTATTCAGCAAACGCCGTTTTCGCCGCCTTGATCCGGTCATCGACTTCCTGCCAGAGCTGGCTATCCTTATCTTGGATATCCTTGACAAAAGCCTCGGGTGGGGGTTCGGAAGCAGATGGAACCGGTCCATAAGGCTGGCTATACGCTTTGAAGTCGTCGAATGGCGGTGCTTCAGGTGGTTGCAAGGCGAGGAAAGGTTTCATCCTGAGTTCATACCGGAGCTTCTCTGTGGAAAAGGGAGTGCGGCGGGGCATGGGTAGTTTACCTAAGTAGGCGCAGATGACGTAGAAGCGGGCGAGAGCTAAAGCTAACGATGCTGTTCCCTCCGTATCAGCGAGCAGGGAGTCTAGGAAGGGTGACGCTTCCTCCACGTCTTGGACCTCTCTGAACCGTCGCGATTTGAGAAGCTCGGTGGAGATACTGAGGTAGTGTGCTTCCACCCTCTTGAGCAACTCTTTCCGTCGTGTAGCGATGAGAGAAAGGAAGAGGTACATGCCCGCGTACTCATCCGGCAAGTAGATGTCCTGTTCGAAACCGAGTAGGATGACCTTTTCAATCATCCAGAGCTTCTTGTGGTAGACCCAGGTAGAGAGGGAGAACTCCATGACTTGGGCACTCTGACCGAGGGTGGCGGCTGCGGAGGAAATGTCCATGTCAATTGAGCTTGCGTCGGCTTGAAGCAGGTCCCAGCCTGTGATGACGTGCGTCAACATACGTCTCAGTCGACAACGGTTCTGGCCCATGGCGACCCAGAGATCGAGGTACGCTTGGCCGGCGCGGTCTACGAATTCGTCGATGAGCATTGCGAATTGGAGGCGTGGGGGTTTGGGAATGAGAGCATTACGCGGTGGTGACATTGTCCAGTTGATGGGGTCTATGACGGGTGAAGATGGAAACACGAGTGTCTTTACGTCGACGAGAGGGAGGGAGACGGAGGCGTTGAGGACGTCGGGGTGGAAGAGTAGGGTTGCGAGGTAGGAGCGGGCGTATGTCAGTGGGGGAGGTGACCGAGCGGAGAAGTGCCAGAGGAAGAATTGGTATTCGAGGGGGTCCTGGGGCAGGGCGGGGAAGCGCGTGGCTTCTGCGCAATCAGTAGCTATCTGATGTAGCTTCTCCAACGCATCCTTGAAGTCGAGTTCTACGACTGGTCGTGGGGGGACTGTAGAGGCGAGACGACGTTGCATCTTCGGACTGAAAGCACCAGGCACAGTCTTCCCAAGCTGATGCGTGTTCTTCAACGAGTCGATGCCTTGGAGGATCGGTGGCCATGAATAGGATATCTGATCGAGTGGTAGATCCAAGTCAAGGGCGCGAAGGAAGTCTTTCCGGAGTTCTAATCGTGAACTGATTGCCTTCCGAAGCGCATCGTTGATCTCAAAGTCGGGACTGCGATGTGTTAGCAGGCCGTCAACTCTCTGATTCGTGGTAGAGCATACTCTTCAATCGTCTCCATCGCCGCATCCAACTCTCTTAAAAATACATCCATCGGCACACTAACAAACAACACCCGATTATACGTATGCGTACAAAAGTCCTCCTCTTCAAAGTAATCCCTGCCTGTAATCTTCGCAATCACAAAGTCACACCCCTTGATCAACGCCAGACAATACGCTCTCAGTACTTCCAGCAACGGTCCAGGTCGTCTCTCATGCAGGATTTCCCCACGGTAGAACTGCGCCTGCTCGAGGATCTTAGTCTCGGGCCAGAGCAGCTTATCGATGTGCAAGGACGTGAAGAGGGTTTGGGATAACGGGTAGCCGGTATGCCAGGCCATTTCGTAGCAGAGTAGTTGGTCCATGATGCCTATTAGTTCCTCGGGTAGAAGGGGAGCCAGAGTGTCGTAGTCGTCTTCTAGGGTTTCTCCGGGTTGGAGGAAGCCGCTGTCCATTTTGGGGTCCATGATCTGTTGCGAGTAAGTCGAGAATCTCTATTCTATAACAAGAGCAGCGTACTTCGATGGCCCCGATGGACTCAAACAGCGTAAAGTATTCATCTTTGACGAGTTGACCGACTTCGAGAGCTGAATGTTGTCAGTCCATGTTGCCTGAACAAATCGTCGCTACCACCAGAGTACGACATGACGAGGCAGCCCCGCCATGCCCCTCCAAGTACCTGAGATCGCAACTCACCATTACAAGCCCTCGTAAACTTGTCCGTCACATCATGAATCTTTGGCTGCGTCCCCGCGACCGGATGTCTTGATTGTCTCAAGGGTAAATTAGCGGAAGTAGAGGCCGAGATGGTAGGCGCAGACTCTTGCGCATGCGAGGGGCCTGTGCATCATCAGTATCGACTGCTCTACGCAGAAGTAAAAGAAACAATTACCAGCCCCGTCAACGGCTACACCTGTGTCATGATCCGGGGTGGGGGCTGTGCTGTGGCTGCTAGACGCATCTGCCATGTTGTGGTGGAGTCGATGCCGATGCGGGAAGATTTGTGACAGCCGAGTTGGACAGGCGCGCGTCCGAGGCAAGCGGCAACATTACTGGTAGTCACGACCGTGATATCACTTCTACTTCACAAGCGCATGGGATTACTGGTGAGAGTGAATGTCGGCTCAATTGTTGGTGTGCATTGGCTTTGATTCCGCTCCAGCTTGATAGTACAGCTTATACGTCTATCCTCCCCAAGCGTCATCTCTCCTCCGTTGTCCATGCCACTCCATCGTGTCTATGCCATGTCCCTTCCTCTCAATTGCTTTACGAGGTCTTGGCGGCATCGGCCTGTGCCTGGAGCGCCGCAGCGTTGAGCTCCTTCAGCTCGCCCTGCTTGCCGTTCTGCCCATTCCGTTAGCCCAGCCCAACTTCCTCACTCCATCCCATCCCATCGTCCTGACTCACCTCCCACTTGGCGAAGCGGAGTTCGCTCTCGCCCCTTCGCTCGGCAGCGATGCGCTTGTCCTCTTTGAGTGAGCGGCGCACGACGCGCGATGCGACGGCAATGTAGCGGTTGTAGCTGTTCAACTGTCAATGGCGGGTCCAAGTCTGGGGCTGCAGCGGCGGCAGAGGTGGGCGGGCGTACGTGAGACCGGCGGCTTTCCACGCGAATGCCATTGTGATGGTAGGATGCGGGTTCGTGGGTGTGGACGGGGTTTGGGTTGCGGGTGCAGGTGTTGAAGTTGCTGAGCTCCGGCGAGATTTCGCGCATGCGGCTCGGAGCTGCAGATCACGTGCTCATATCAGGTACGGGAAGCGTTTTGGGTAAACTGTACCCTGGCAGATACCTAATATTTTACTTGATGGAAAGCGACTATAAAAGGCATTGAGTACCTCCAAGCTGTCGCTGGAGCACTCCGAAGACATACAGAAATTCGTAATCGTGTTCATTATATTTTCATAGCCAGGCGGCTACATCATGATCTACAGTATCTCGTAAGGCGGCTATACCGGTCTTGCAGACTGCACGCTTCCCTACAACTCCATGGCCTCTCCTCCCTCGGCGTTATCGTCGCCGCCTTCCCTGTTCTCAAAGGTAGCGTCCAGCCACTCCGCGACATCCTGGCCTTCATGGTGCACAAAGTCCTCGCCGATACCGCTGATGCCAACGCTGGTGTTGTCGACAGTCAGCTCCTTGTCTTGTGACAGCGACTCCTTCAGCGCCCTCAGTGCGTGCTTGATCAACTCCTCCCTGCTTGCGCCCTCGAAGTCGTCCAGATGCCTCTCAAGGTATGTCCTCGCCATTTGACTCCTAGCACCGATACCGCATGCAACCATCTCCTGTGTGACACCGCTGGGCTGGAACTCGAACAGATGCGGGCCCTTTGCGTCGACCCCGGCAATCAACAGTCCGACACCGTAAGGTCTCCGTCCGTATTGCTGGGTGTTGGTCTGGGCGCGGTCGGCGATTCGGGAAGTGATTTCAGAGAGAGGAATGGCACGGTCGTAGGTGAGGCGGGATGCCAGTGATTGTTGCTTCATGAAGTTGGAGAGCACACGGGCGTCCGAGGCGAGACCGGCGAGCGCGACACCGAAGTGCGAATCGATGGTGATGATCTTCTTCTGATAGGAAGAGAGCTCCTCGGCGTTTCGCTAGTAGTCTATTAGGGATTGTTGGTGTAGTTGAGAGAACATGAGTAATTACCTTGATTGCGGCGAGTACTGCATGGGTCTTGCTGACGATTCCGACAACGACAGAACCCTGCTTCACCGCTTCCTGTGCATATTCCACCTGGAAGATGCGGCCTTGTGGTGAGAATGTGACCGAGTCGTTGTCGTAGTTGTTGCGGAACATCTTGAAGGCGGGATCGTGGGGTGTGGGGTGGTTTGTGGAAGGCTAAAAGAAGGAAGTCGAGATGCAGTATGTTCTACGGTGGTGCTGCAATCTAGTGGCGAAGACGGTGGTCGTGTGGTGTGCGGCGTGGGACGAGTACCGAGAGAATGTGGTGTTGCAGCTGGAGGCACCCGCTGTTGACGACGATGAGCTCCAGAAGCTCCAAGCTTGGCAAGGCCCTTAGCGCGTGCGACGCAACCTCACCACCAGGCGTCTAGCAGCCAGACCCCCATCACAGCAACCTCGCATCTTCGCCGGACCGAGGATCGAACCAAGGCGACGTTGGCGCATACTTTGCAACACACAATCGTCACGTGCATCCCTCTACGAATCCACCATGGCCGGCATCAAGACCATCATAGGGTTGTCCTTCGTACGTCAGCCTGTCGCATGCACGCGCGCTCGCTATTCCACTATGCACTTGCTAATGTTGTTCGACTAGGTCCTGGCGATCGGCTTCCTCCTTGTCATCCTCTCCGCCGCGCTCTTCAAGAACTACCTCACGCTTCTCGTCGTCGCAACCTACGTAATCGCGCCCCTGCCCAACTGGCTCTGCGGCCGTGCAGCAAACCGCGATGATTTCATGGAAAGCACCGGAAATGGTGTCGTGGACTTTGGACGGTTCTTGACGGGCTTCTTTGTGGTCATGGGTATTGGTGAGTACACCTGGGTGGCAGAGGGACGATTCCGGGGGTATCTTGGCAGAGTGCTAACACGTTGACAGCCCTCCCAACACTACTATGGCATTCGGCAGAGATCGCGGGCGGCGCGGCGGCCATGTCCATCTTCGGCGGTCTTCTGATATACGCGACCATCATCAGCTTCACCCTGTTCTTCCAGGAGCAAGAAGACTTCTGACTCGCCGGCGGAACTCAGCAATGAGGAACCGCACATACACAATCTGGTCCAGCGCGACCACTGGAGGAATGTTGAGGGCGTTAAAAGCAAATGCTGACAGCCGGAAGATTCGGATCGGTGCTGCCCCATGTTTATGTTGTACCCATAGTTTGCTGAGCGTTTTTGTACAAGTATATCGAACATAATGCATAGGATGACTTTGGTTGTCCGTATTGGAACTTGATAACTCGAAATCGCTGAATGACTGGCATGAAACAACAAGCTGCCTATGACGAACAGTCCCGACCCTTCAAATACTCGTACATAATTATATCCATTCCATGCGCGCGTCCAGATACAGGACGCGCCATATCCGTCCTCAGTCCTGACCCTTAATCCGGCAGTAGCCTACAACGCCAGGTTGTAGGTGTATTCGTCTTCCATGTTCTGCGCAATCCAGAGCACAGCGGAACTACGCAACATTAGCAGCCATCCCAGCACTTCATATATTGTACTTACCTCAGCATAAGAAGCGCATTAGCAACGACGTTTCCAACGCCCAGCCAAAGAGTCGGCCAAGTATGCCCCACAACAATGAACTTCATGACCATAACCACAACACTGCCCGCAAGACCACCAGCCAACAGCGCAAAGCCCAAGAACAACACCAGCCTCGCCTTCCACGCGACGCCGTTTCCAGAGTAGGAGAAGCTGTCGGCGGACAGACGCGACTTGTCGATGCTGTTGATGACGAGCATGCCGAGGGCGCTGCAGATGCCGGGGATCCAGTCGACGAAGGTGATGTGGACGGTTGGTTCGGAGCCGTTCATGGCCGACTTGGACCAGACCGAGATGTCGATGAGAGTGTAGAACCCCATGGCGAACTACGCGGCATTGTTAGTAAGATGTGTAGGTGTGGCATGCTAGAGGCGCGCACCAAGGCTCCCGCGATGTAGACGCCGGCAGTCCGCGTGTTGGCGCTGTTCATCCACGCGGGCTTGGGGAAGCGGAAGAGGCGATTCGAGTCCTCCATCATGCCGTGCGTATGCGTATGCGACTCGGTGGAGTGTGGGATTGTGGTGTTGGGGGTGTGATGCAAGGAGCTAGCTAGCAGCTGGAGTTGCGGTTGCGCCAGTCGAGGTTGCGGTCCACCCGGTCGCGCCTGCCCTTGGCACTTACGTGCCTGGTCGGTCGGCATCTGCAGCTCGCCAACCGCCGACGAAAAGTTCCAGACTTCCAGACTTCTTTACAACCAACACCAACTTTTGCGCCAACTTCACCCACGCACCACGTCCTTCGCTAAAATGGGTCTCTCCAAGCCCTCCACCAAGGGCAAGACCTCGTCGAAAGGCAAATCCGGCCCTGCGAAATCCGGCGCCAACAAACCGAAAGCGAAGTCTGCGAAACCGACTGGTAGCGCGCCCGAGGGCATATCGAAGCGCAAGCAAAAGTCCATGTCCCTGGCTAAACCGGGTGGCCAGCAAAAGACCAAGAGTGTTGTTTCCAGGGACGGCAGGAAGAAGAAGCGCGTGTATACGGAGAAGGAACTGGATATTCCGGCGCTGAATGGCATTATACCTGCTGGTATTGCGAAACCGAAGGGTGTGAAGAAGGGTAAGAAGTTTGTTGATGATCCGGCTAGTATGGTATGTCAATCTAATCCTCCGATCGATTCCTCTCTCTTTAATCTAACTCTAACGTCTTCAAGATGGCCATCATGTCCGTCGTCAACGCCGAGAAGGAAGGCCACCTCGAGTCCAAGATCGCCAAAGCACGCCAGCTTGAAGAGATACGCGAGGCCAAACGGAAAGAAGCCGAAGCCAGGAAATCGGACAAGGACCAGGCTTTCGAGGAGAGGAAACAGGATCTCAAGAAGAAGAGGAAGAGGCATAGTGAGCCTGGTGCTGGTGGGAATAAGGATGAGGGCGATAAGATCAAGGAGAAGGATCGCAAGTTCAAGCAGAGGAAGAGGGTCAGCTTTGGTTGAAGGGATGATCTGTGGGGCGTGCGTTCAGTCATGATGGAGGGTTATACACAGAAGCACAGATATTGCGACAAGGCGGATACACATCGTGTACGATATCGAGAAGGCCAGAGTCGATAGGCAGCGCATGCAGCAAACGCGGGCGCAAAAGCACAGCAGAGAAGAGGGCGTCATATGTCACGCAACACATCAGGTCTACAGACGATCTACGATATCTAAAAGTCTATGATACCCAAACAAATTTACAATCCAATCCAATCCAATCTCCAAATCATAACTCAATATTCTAAGCCTCAGGCAATATCAACCTGCGATGATTCGGATCGAAGATAGGATACTTCTTCCCCTCCAACCCTCCCATATTCACATCTGCTCCCTCGTCCACGCCCTTAGTAGCCTCACCCTCCACTTCCGCAAACATCTTCTCCAAAAACGCCGCCGCAGCACTCGCAAACCACCTCCCCCCACCCAACTGAAAAGACCCCAAATGACCACCCCAATCCGTCGTACACAGCAACGTATTCGGGTTCTGCAACACCTCCTGATACGGTAGTCCCGCTTTATTGCTAATCGGGTCGTCCTCGGCATTAATCCCCAAAAAGGGGATTCGAATAGCCAGTACCGCGTCTACGGATTGTGAGTCCCTGTAATACGCGCCTTCAGTTGGATACCCCCACGTAGGACACTGGACATGTCGATCAAACTCATGGAGGTATTTACTCGCCAACAGCGCCGTCTCGTCGATACCGGGGTTCTTGAGTATCTGCGAGCGGTGGCGGTGGAAGAGATTCATGAGGTTCTTGCCCATGGTGCGGGAATAGATGTGGAGTCCTAGGTAGGTTGATTGGAGGGTTGTGTTGCAGACTTCTAGGTTCCACGGGTTTGAACAGGAGACTGCGGCTTTGAGGGTGCAGCGGGGTCCTTCTTCGCCGCAGTAGTTGGTCAGGATGTTGGCGCCGAGGC